CACACCCCCCCAGGGAAGACTTTATGCCACGTTCGCCCCCCCCCCCCCCCCCCAATATTGGGGGTATTACTATTTCCCGGATGATTATAATAGCGAGATTGTATTATACTGGGATTATTTAGACAAAGTTTATGTTTATTTTCTCATGAACTAACATTTAGATTAATTTAATTATGACCGTTTAGACTAATATTATAACTAGATTGACCTTTTTGCCCTCAAATCAACTAATATTGTACTAATGCGCTTCTGTTTGGAAAATTTTAAATTTTAGACATGACCTTATCTAAAAAGTCAAAACACACTTGAATAAATTTTAAAATGTTACATAATATATTTTGTCCTAAAATTTTATTTGTTTAAAATAGAGTGCCCCAAAATTATATATGACCTAGTCATGTTTTTTAAGCAGCCTCATCTATTTGATTTATTATCATGCCTATTTCACGAATACACAACTTCTTAATTAATATTTTTTTGTTGAAAAAGGAGTTTTTTTTTTCAAAAGAGGCCTTTTTTTATAGTTAGCAAAACCGACCGTTTTTGAAACATACGAGACTAATAGTCCCATATGTTTAGTGGCCAGTAATTGACCACTAATCTTAACTCAGAAAACATACGGGACTAGTAGTCTCATGAGTTTTCTGAACTGTGCAAAGAAAACGTGTGAGTTAAGCAGATACTCTGGGCGTTGTCGCCTAGCAAATCCACTGAACTAGTAGTCCCGTGGATTTATCGAGCCTATATAAGCCCGGCTATGCCTAAGAATTAGGGTCCGGCTGTGCCTAAGAATTAGGGCACAACCTCCTCTCTCTCTAACCCTCTCGATCTCTCACCTCTCCAAACCTGATTTTTATCCACCCTCTCCCAATCTCTCTCCCTCAATAACCCTAAACCCATTCCATTTATTCTCTCCAAAATCACCTCTTTCTCACTCAATTTTCTCTCTCGTATTCTCACCAAACCCATTCTATCCAAACTCATTCTCTCCAAACCTAAGTAGAGATCTTCATCAAGGCATAAATTTTAAAATTTTCCTATTTTTCTCTCTATTATTTAGTTAAAATTGTAGTTTGGAAATAACTATATATTTAGAATAATTTTTTTAATTTTGATAAACAATGGGATTTGGTTAAATTTTTTATAGATTAAATTTTGATAGATTAAAATTTGTTAGATTAAAATTTGATAAATAATCTGCATATGATAAATGTTAATATTTTAGTTTCAATGGCGAATGGAATACCAGTTATTTGCTTATTCAATAGGAAATTAAGTGTTGGAATGAATAATATGCCTATATACGAGGGAGGATCTAGAAAAATATTCATGTTATCTAGAAATTGCAACTTTGATAGAATGATAGAGCAAATATACAGAGTTACATGAATTAATTATGGAGAGTATGCCACTAATGTCTTCTGTAATTGTCTAATAAATAAAAAAAGAACAATTGCTGTAGAGATCACCAATGATCAAGAACTGAGTGACATGATAAAAACTAATTGTTGTTCATTAAAAATATTCTAATATCCGGTGTTGCCCAAGTTTCATATGCTCCTAGAGAGTTCTCCCACATACTTGACTTAGAAAATAACTTGTCCACCACTGATTTGCATGGAGGGACACAATATATGGAGAGCCCGAGTTTCTCTCATTTGTTTTGAAAATGTGGAGATGCACATGCTGGATCACGTGCTTAGGCAGTTTGGCTTCGCACAGCATGCTCCAAAATTTGTGGAAAGAATAGAGAGAAAGGCATTCAAGGGTGGGCATCAGATTAACTGACCACTTGTACATAATCAATACGTTGTTAGAAGGAATGAGTGACATTTGAGCATCGTTGAGTAGCTTTATCCTCCAATGGAGGAAATTGATTATATAAGGTGGTATTGAGGGATTAGCAGAAGATGGATAATCACTCAAACCACGCCTCCAGTCGATGAAATCGAGATATGTTCCCAACAAGCAAGATACGTACCATGGGGTGTAGATGAAAGAGAATGTGTAAGTAAAATGCATAAATTTAAATAGTTTTTTAATACATTAGCTTTTCGTTGCTTATATATGGATTAGATAGAGGGGATTGCAATGAAGGCATAACTATCGCCAGAAGAGATTCAATATATGTATCAGTATAGCAGCGGATAATGGGGAGGGTTCGTAAAGCTCTTCATCGAGCTCATGAGGATCGACATGATGGTCACAAGTAGATGGCGCATGAGGAGAGGGAATATGCGCGCCAACGAAGACAAGGTGAATCTTGTTCGGACAACAATGAAGCTAGTCCGTCATAACAAGCTGGTCTTTCATAACCCCACAGACAACCGGAGAGCGAGTACGAACAAGCTCAAATCGAAGGAGGACGCCAATGATCGGAGTGGGTATGAAGAGGGAGACAACGGAGAAGGGGTGGACTTTTAGGTTGCATGTGATAGGTAATTAGTTTTTTTGCTTAGACTATATTTATCGTATGGATAGACTTGATAAACTTGATATATTTGGATTTGTTTGGACTATTTTGTTGTATGGTGTATATGATGTAACTATTGTGTTGTGATGTTGTGGATTCATTAAATATGTTTTTATCTAGTATTTATTTCTTAAAATTTATAAGTATATAAATATTATATTGTATAACAATTATATGAAGTGAATGTTATATTTTTGTAGCCCAAACAGGTCTGCCAAGCAATGTATATAAAGTGATATAGCCCCATGCATGTTCTGTACATGTTTGTGGTGTGACCAGCAAATCCACGGGACTACTAGTCCCATGGATTTGTTGCCCACCTCTCTATTTAACACACGGAACTAGTAGTCCCATACGTTTTGTTTGGAAGTTCAGAAAATCCAAGGGACTAGTAGTCCCATGGGTTTTCTGAGTTAAAATTAGTGGCCAATTACTGGCCACTAAACATACATGACTACTAGTTCCGTATGTTTCAGAAGCTTGTTTTTGTGAAATCGACCTCTTTTTGGCATGATCGGTTTTACTAAATAATTAGCAAAACGGTTGGCTTTGCTAATTATTTAGTAAAAAAGACCTCTTTTTTTTTTGGGGGGGGGGGCTCCGTTGAAAAATATCTTATGGAATTTCATTACTGTGCATGGTCAGATAATGTTAGTCTGACTTGGTCTTGTGTGACCAAATTAACGCTTCTCAAGTGGAGAGAAACGTAGGATAAGGGGTTTGTTGAGAGAAAATCTCTCAGAGGCAGTTTGAGGGGGTGAAGATGATAAGATTTTTAGCCTATAAATAGTAGTGTAATCTACTTGCAGAAATACAACGAAAAAGGAAGAATCAAGCCTCTTACCCATTACCGTAGCCCCCCTAAAAAATATAAGTTGTTCTTTCCTCTTCTCTATGCTCAAATGTTGGTATCAGAGCCAAAGTTTCTTCATCATCTTCAAATCCCGCTGCTATTTTCCCAACAAAGAAGAAGCTCTTTCTCTCCAACTTCTTGAAGAAGAAGCATTCTCTATTGAGCCAGCCTACGAAGAAGAAATACACTTTGTTGAGGTCTGCCAACGACTCATTTATTTTTTCCTAGCCATAATCCAGCTAGCCTACTCTTTATTCATAGCCTAGCCATAGACCTACATCTACAAGGCATAGCCTACTCTTTGTTCATAGCCTACTCTTAATCCAACTAGCCTACTCTATGTTCTCTAGCCTAGCTTGTTCATAGCCGGTTATATCTACCTACATTCATAGCCTATTAGACCTGGTTGTTCAGTACTCTACATCCACCCTATTGTTTCATAGCCTGGTTGTTCAGTACTCTACATCCACCCTATTGTTTCATAGCCTACTTGTTTTCATAGCCTAGATCCAACTTATCTCTTAATAGCCTATTGGGCCTTTGTATTTGGGCTTGCTTAACCAGTGGTGTATGCTGTTTTCACACTTAAATAAATTAATATTGTGTGGGCCGAGCGAAGGCTTGTTTCACCTATCCAAGTGGAGGGCACCTCGCAAAGCTAGTTTCGCACAATAAATCTTCTCTACAATTCAGACGGAACCAACTTCAACAAGTGCTGATCCAATCAACACCGCTGAGTGACAATCTCACTCAAATTGGAGCCTCTTTCATCAACTCGAAACAGTCAGGTTTATTTTAATTCATTTATTTATTTTTGTCTAATTTTATTCTATAACTGTCTATATACAATCATTATATATATTTATATTGAATTTAGTTTTAGTTATTTACCGAATGGCTAGTAA